CTCTTTATTATGCAAAGTGGATGCAAAGGCCTCTTTCGTTTCCTGGTAATTAAATGAATGTCAATTGTTTTAGTTGTTTCTGAGGGAGAGTCCTACAAGAGTATTAGCATGTTCTGCTAACCCAGACGGCCTGCACTCCAGGCCTGGCGGAAGCCCTCGGGGGTTGACCGCTGACCTGAGACTCTCCGGGCGGACACGTCGGCTGCATCTCAATGAGGCCGGCTCCTTCGGCTCCGGTTTCTGTGCGACCGGCTGAGCGGAACTAATATTGTGCCGCATATAGATGAAAGAATTGGGGAGGCGGGGAGGAGGGTGGCTTTATGGCTAAATTAATTAAGCAGATGTACCTGTCTAATTAAAGAGCCACTGTCCCCTTTGTACTCTCGCTTGCACAGCGAACAGTATTTAAATGCGCGGCCGAGCCGTTTCACCTATCAATATTTAGTAGGAACACTCGAATGGAGGTGATATTAGCAAGATGTACCCTCCATTTATTATTAATAGCAGCCCTTCCAATTTATGCACGGGAGCTGCAGTGTATCTTTACAACCATTTGGGGGGGGGGACAGTGGCTCAGGTAAGCATCTGCAGAGCACACTGGTAAGGGGAGGCCTGTTGTAAACAGTCCAGCACCAAGGGGTTGGCAGAACGCCCTTCTGGGGCATTTGCTGACACCGTGCCGTCTGGCTGCAAATCAGTTATCCCAGGATTGTACGTGGGTCAGATGTCAGGATCGCGAGAGACAGGTGAGCGGGGCAGGGGCAACACAGCTGGACAAATCTCGTCTGCAGCTTGCCCTTCTGGCTGGGGGCTGCAGGCCCACAGCAGAGAGGGCAGCTGCCAGTGGCGCAGGCAGGAAGAGAGGCAGGCCTCCGGTCCAGGTTGGAAGAGCAGCCCGAGGGGAGTGCTGCACTACCGAGTGGGGAAGGCAGGTTGCAGGCAAGAATTGGGCTTTGTTGCTTGGACCAGTGCACAGGCCTTACTGAGAAGCTCTTCCGGTACTGGGGGACTCTCAGCTGGCTCCTGATGGCCAGTCCCCTTCAGCTCTCTACAAAACTCTTGGGGAGGCCTTGGGCGGGCATTCTTTCAGCCCCTCTCAGCTCCTGGAAGGCGGGTGGGGGAAAGTGCCATCAAATTGCCAACTGACGACGATCGGTAGGGGGTTTTCAAGGCAAGAGATGTTCGGAGGCGATTTCCCATCACCTGCCTTTTCAGAGCGACCCTGGACTTCCTTGGTGGTCCCCGATCCAAATACTGACCGGCTGAGCCTGCCTAGTTTCCAAGGTCTGATGAGATCAGGGCAGGGTAACAACGTCATCGAGTTGGTGTTGTCAGGGATGTGAGTCATCTGTTTAAAAGCGCCGCACCTTTCGTTTCGGCTTTTTTTTGCCTCTAACTCCCCAGTTCCACCTTTGACTTTGCTCCCGGCTGGGTCAGTGGATGGTGGCAGCAGGAAAGCTGAGAGGCTTGCAACAACTATGCCTGCAGTTCAAAGAGCTTTTAATGTCTCGGTTTTACATATCCCCAAATCAATACACAACAGTCGAAACTGCAGTGAATCAGACTTTACAGACTGCCCTGCATGATCACCAGCCCTGGAGAGGACAGAACGGGGGGAACGAACTCCTCTGCCTTTATCTGTCATTGAAGCATCTGGGATAACTGGAACAAGAAAATGTCATCCCTGGTTAAGGACCGTGTATCTTAACCCTTCTCAGGGGTCATGTCGTAGAAAAAGAGGTGCAGGAGCTCATTTGCATAAATCATTTGCATATGCCACACCCCCTGACAAAGGGCAGGCGTGCAAGCATGCCTGGGTTCCCCGCCTGATCTTCTCCGGGTGCCCCGTGGCTGCAGGGCACCTGGAGAAGATCGGGCAGGGAACCTAGGCATCTTAAGAAGAAGACGACATTGGATTTATACCCTGCCCTTCACTACCCAGAGGTGTCTCAGAGTGGCTTACAAACTCCTTTCCCTTCCCCTCCCCACAACAGACACCCTGTGAGGTAGGTGGGGCTGAGAGAACTCTGACAGAAACTGCTCTTTTTCAAGGACAGCTCTTATCAGAACTATGGCTTGCCCAAGGTCATCCAGCAGGTGCAAGTGGAGGTGGGGAATCAAGCCCGGTTCTTCCAGATTAGAGTCCACGCACTTAATCACTACACCATCTGGGACACCATCTGGGGAAGGGAAAGAAAGGCATTTAAATCCCCTCAGGCAGCGGGGGGCCCTGCAGGCCTTCCCTGGCCCATCCGCTTACGCGAACGGGCCAGGAATGGCGACGGGGGGCACCCCTGGGCTCCTTACTGCCGGAGCGCCGTTCCACGGTGCTCCGGAAGGAAATGACCCCTGACCCTTCTGATGTCCCTTGCAAAGGGCAATGAAATAAAAGCAAATCCGATTAATAGGGGGTGGGGTGGAGAATCTACTCAGAGGACATTTAGGGTACCCTGCTTACTTCAAGGGAGTGCTGCGGGAGTGTAGTGGGTTGAAGTGCTTATGTTTCTGTGTCCTCTTGATTTTTAGCAGAAAAAAACTTGCAAGCCAAAACATCCTGCTGCCTACGGGGTTCAAAGAACTGCTTCCATCCGGAGCTAGTGTTAGTACTCACTCAGAACTGCCTACCACGGGGCCAGAGCTAGCATGTGCACTGTTTTCTTGGTTTCCAGGTCGGGTCGGTTGGCAGCGGATTGACAATATAGCTCTCTATATACTCAAAGACGGTCTGGGGGTCTTGGTCAGCGTTGATAGACACAGCATCTTCAAACAGCTCCTCCGTGCCGCTGGAAAGCCTGAAGTACATTTCGACCTTAGTCCTCACGTGCTCTTCGAGATCCTTTGGGTTCGTCAGGAGGCGCTTGTGGGCTTTCTTGGAAGGTGCCGGCTTATACAGGGTGTGGTACCTGAAAATCAGGCCAAAGCAACCCCTCTTCAGCAGGCAGCAAACATCTTGGTTAGTGAAAACTACTGTTTGTCCGGCTTTGTTGTAAACATTTCTAATCCTACATTTTCACATTGCTCAGGACAGCTTGCAACATATTGAATCAAGAAGCAACCATTTAACGCCATATAAAAACTAAGTTTAAAAGCCAGTAATTACGGTCGCGGAAGCACAGACCCATTAAAGTCCATCTATCCTGTCACTGGGCACCCTACCTCCCACAGTCATTCCCCAGCAGCCTCACTAAGGCCTTTGAGAACAGACGGGCCTTTTCGGAGGCACCTGGGACTCCAGGGCAGAGTTGCCAGCTCTGGGCTGGGAAATTCGTAATTAACGGTCGCGGAAGCACAGACCCATTAAAGTCCATCTAGCCTGTCACCGGGCACCCCACCCCCCACAGTCATTCCCCAGCAGCCTCACCAAGGCCTTTGAGAACAGACGGACCTTTCGGAGGCACCTGGGACTCCAGGGCAGGGTTGCCAGCTCTGGGCTGGGAAATACCTGGAGGTTTTGGGGGTGGAGCCTGAGGAGGGCGGGGTTTGGCAAGGGACTTCAATAGGGTATATAAAGCCTACTTTCCGAAGCGGCCATTTTCTCCAGGTGGACTGGTCTCTGTCGCCTAGAGACCAGTTGTAATACCAGGAGAGCTCTAGCCACTACCTGGAGGTTGAGGAATTCCAAAAGCAACATCCGTGACAAAAATAACGGAGAGTCAATAAAGATAAGTTGCAAAAATGTTTACTGTAGTAATTTCTGTAGAAAACTTTCGTCTATTATCGCTCACATGCTAACGAATACTGCGTAATGAACAATTCGTTTCACAATATTTGTCTTATCTGAGTGTGTAGCAATCCCAATTCTTATCGATTACTATTTATCAACTCTCGAAGGAAACATTCCGCGTTGACTCTCTAATAACAGCGTGTGAGTGATAATAGGAGAAGATTTTCTACAGAAATCACTACAGCAAACGTTTTTGCAACTTATCTTTATTGACTCATTGTTTTATCTGAGTGTATAGCAATCCCAATTCTTATTGATTACTATTTATCAACTCTCAAAGGAAACATTCCGTGTTGACTAATAACAGCGTGTGAGCGATAATAGGAGAAAAATTTCCTACAGAAATTACTACAGTAAACGTTTTTGCAACTTATCTTTATTGACTCTCCGTTATTTTTGTCACGGATGTTGTTTTTGGGATTTCACTTCCTCCCGTGATCTCTCATTTTTGGCTTCCACTACCTGGAGGTTGGCAACCCTACTCTGGCGGGAGAAGAACATGTGCATCTGCTGGGATCGTTATTCCATAATGCTGAGGCAGCTACTGAGAAGGCCCTGCCTCTTGCAGTTACGCGTCCTCTTTGAACTAATGTGACTATTTGCAAATGCTGTGTTTTGGAAATACCAGGTTTAGCCATCACTCAAGAAAGATGCTCTGAGGTGGGGCTCTGGGTGTGGGAGCCTCCTGCCATCCTCCCAACCGCATTGACGCTACCTACTGCCTCATGTAAATCAATCTCCAGATTTTTTATTACATTTCCCCCCCTGCTCTTGGCCTTCTTCAGGACCTCCGTGTTCCATCTGGCACTGAAGAGAGATGGCATCAGCTACCCAAAACAGTTATTTTCAGATGGAAGCAAACATTTTTTCTTCTTCATCCTGCTAGGCTCGCCAGCCTCCAGGTGGGTCAAACAACAAATATATACACTGCAAAAACCTTATTTATAAGTTAAAGTGTTCTATATGTTCCATCTTATAAAGGGGAATTATGTCTTCTAACAGCCTTTTGTAGGACCAGCAACAAACATCAATTTAAACTTCAATGTAACCACAAAAGGACACTTCCCCCTTTAGAAGACTTTCAAGCAAGGAGAAGCGGGTGTACATCTCTAGAAACTCCCGTTGGGGTTGACTGTGTAAAAAGGATGTAAATTGACTGGTAGCTATTAGATTGTACAAACTGATTATTACTGTTGATATTGCATGTAATGAATATATACCTGTTTTAGGATATTATGAATAATACACAATGCACTTTATAAGATGGAACATATAGAACACTTTAACTTATAAATAAGGTTTTTGCAGTGTATATATTTGTTGATTGACTCTTCTAACACTGCAGCTCGAGTTTCCACAGCCTCCAGTTGGGAGATCTCCCGGAATTACAACTGGTCTCCAGATGACAGACATCAGTTCCCCTGGAGAAATGGCTGCTTTGGAGGGTGGCCTCTATGTCTTTATACCCTGCGGAGGTCCCTCCCCAAACCCAGCCCTCCCCAGCCTTCACCCCCTAAAGCAGAGGTGTCAAACTCATTTGTTACGAAGGCCGGATCTGACATAAATGTCACTTCGTCCGGCCGGGCCATGTGTGCCCTAAAACACAATGCCAGGTACTGGAGATATAAACTTGATACAAGACAGCAGCTGGTAACCTCCACGTTGGTGTGTCCTCACTGCAAGGCCCCACGGGTTGGGAGGAGGGTGCAGAGGAAAACCCATATGGGCGGACTGGAGAGCCAGTGTCGCAGCATTGGGCAGATGCTCCCAGCTGCTTGACTGCCGCAGAGGAGGTTGTTCCGCCATGCTGAAGCCATAATCTGAATGGCTCCGCCCACTTCCCCCCTGAGCGGTCTCCTGTTCCCTCCCTTGCACCAGCCGCTTGCGGGCCTCATAAGAGCCCTGGACGGGCCGGTTCTGGCCCCCGGGCCTTATGTTTGACACCCCTGCCCTAAACTCTCCAGGTAGTATTTCCCAGCTCAGACCTGGCAGCTGAATGCAGCTTGTTCCCAGCCCTGCCCCTTCAAGTCCCTACTCACCAGGCACTAGATACGTCCTGCACCCCCTCTTCCTTTTTAAAAAACATCATGTCTGATGGAGAGTCCAGATTTTGGGGGGGGGGGGGCATGTTAGACTACAGCAGCAAAATAAGCCAGGAATAAATGCCAGTGGTCTCTTAAGGTGTGCCTGGACTCCCTTTTCATACTGCCCCTTGAGCAGTTCCCTACATTTTTACCTTCAGGAATCCCTTTCTTGTTCCAGTCGGTCTGCCAGGGTTGCTGGCTCTGGGTTGGAAAACACGTGGAGCTTTTGGGGGTGGAGCCTGGGGAGGGCGAGGTGAGGAGAGGGGAGGGACCTCGGCCGGGTATAACGACACCAGAGGTCATTTCGGGGGGGAACGCGGGGGATCGCAGTTCCCCCGGGTGAGGTACGGGGAGCGGGGCACATGACGAAGCCCCGCCCCCTGCTTCCGGCCGCCCCGCCCCCTGCTTCCGGCCGCCCCGCTTCCGGCCCTCATTCAGCCAGGAGGAGGCAGGAGAAGAGGGAGGTTAAATTGCTTCCTCCCTGCCTCTCCCCACCCCTGCCTGCCTGGGGCCAGGGAGGGC